AAACCTGCTCATGAAACTTTGAGGAACAACCAGGATGTAATTTATGTTATAACTGATAGTGGAGAGGAAGTGGAATTACAGGCGTTTTACATGTGCTGCAGACTGGATCAACATCATCAAAATAATCACCTGACATTTCTAATTTGCATGAGTGTCAATGTTGAGAAGACAGATTTATACAAACCAAGTGGATGAGACGGTCTTTGTTACTAACCATCATTTTTTTATTATTTCTGTGTGACTCTCGCGTTTGGGGAAATGGACTTTAAAAAAACATAACTAGTAGATTAGTTAACTTCAACATTAAAATGGAACATTAATTGCATCACATCACATAGATCAAAAGACTGAAAGTATTAATAAAATATAAACCTGAGAGATTAATAGATCATACTAATTGTTAGCTGCTACAAATACAAAATTCATACTGATTGCAAACTATCAGTATCCTCTTGCTGAACCTGAAGCATTAATAATATTATTAATAGCATTTTATAACACCGCTCAGGACTACGGCTTTAGTAAGTAAGTAAGTAAAGTTTATTTATTAAGCGCTTTTCATAGACAGGTAGTCACAAAGCGCTGCACACAGAGATTAAAATAAACAGTATGATAAATAGCAAAATGCACAATATACACAATATAGAGTTTTAATGTAAATTAAAATATAAAAATGTAAAAAGCATTGGTCAACAGAAAGCTTGTTTAAACAGTAAAGTTTTTAACTGTTTTTTAAAGGATTCCACAGAGTCAACCAAACGTAGTTGTAGAGGTAAACTGCTCCACAGACTGAAAGGCTCCGCCCCCTTTCGTCTTCAGACGTGTTCTGGGAGCAACCAACAAACTCTGAGTCTGTGAGTGGAGACGGCGAGCAGTAGTGTATTTTGTGAGAAGCTTGGATAAATAATCTGGGGCCATTTAGTGCTCTGTACGTTAAAACAATAATTTTAAAACGAATTCTAAAATCTATTGGGAGCCAATGTAAAGAACATAAAATAGGAGTGATGTGAGCTCGCTTGCCAGAGCGAGTTACAGAGATGATTTATCCAAGCTGGTAAACAGGGAATTACAATAATCTAAACGCGATGACACAAATGCATGGACAATTTTTTCCAGTTCAGCTGAGGAGACCATATGTCGCAGTTTAGAAATATTCCTTAAATGAAAGAAACAGGAACGAGACAGAGATTTTACGTGTGAGTCAAATATTACTCCAAGATTTTGAATATTTGGCTTAGCAGAAGAACAGAAAGGGGCAAGAACCTGACTGATTTTAGAATATAGATCAGGAGGAGCTATGAGCATGGTCTCTGTCTTGTTCATGTTTAAAACAAGGTAATTGTTAGAAAGCCAATCAGAGATTTGAGTTAAAGCCTGGACTAGGGTGGACAGCGTATCCAGCTGATGAGGCTTAAAGGACATATACAGCTGAATGTCATCGGCATAGAAATGATAAGACAGGTCACTAAAAGACTGAATAATGCCAGCTAAAGGAAGCATATAAAAAGAAAATAATAATGGACCCAAAACTGAACCCTGTGGAACCCCGCAGGCTTTAATTTCCTTAGAATTTAATTGAATTTCCATGTACTTTACGTAAAATTATAGTATTTACAAAGAAACACTCAGCAGTATATAACCTAGCAAGTAACATTTATTTATTAGTGCTTTTCAGAGCAAGAAATCAGCCACTAATAAATACAGAGATCTCAACAAATAAAGAAATAAAGAAATTACTTAATCAAAGCTTGTGCAAGAATGAACA